GGTGCACCAGCTTGGTCAGGCTCTCAAACGCCATGAACTGACAGGAACAAATACACACAGGGCAAGGAGTCAGTCCCTATCACTGACACCATCTCCCCACTCCTCTCCCATTTCAGCAAAAGAGCTCCACCCACTGCTCGTAACCACCTTCTGTCTCTGTCCTTGAAAAGTCCTTCTCAGCTTGCAACCTGTTGGAGCTTGTCCTCCAAGAACACCTTGTAAAAATCAGAGCAGCCCAGGGAATGCTTGGGATGTTCTGATCTCTTGACACTTCTGCTAAATCTTGCATTTAGAATTGTGAAAAAACCCCTTTGAATGCTCTGTGTGTCCTAAATAGCATTTGCTACATTACAGCTACACTGCCCATTACTCTTTCAACCACTGCTCATGCTGTTAATATTTACAAATTAAGTATAATGATCCTGTATAAAACACCATCATCAGCTTCACTGTTCTTTTTCTAACAAGCTGTGAGGACAGCATGAACAAAAGGAAGAAAAAACTCCACAGGCTTGGAAGATGAACAGCTAAGCCAAATGCCAGGAACAAACAGGGCTCCTCTATTATACCAGATACAGACAGAACTGTTTGCTCTACCTGTGCTCCAGGCTGGCCAGACAGGTGTTCAGCAAGCTCAGGAATATTAACTTAGGAATTGTACATCAGCATTATACAACACATTTGAGACTGGAGCAGGCTTGTGACAATACAGTTTAAACCTGGACCCTTTCTGCATCTCCCCATGCAAACAGTCTGACAAGGAGCAAAGCCAAGTCCCACGTATGTAAGCTGGGCACAGCTGCTGTCTGGTCACCTTACCTGAACAGCTCCATAGCCAACTGAAAGGAACTGAGCAGGAACATGGCCCTTCCAGAAGGCTGCCAACCCCTCTTCCTGGAAGATGCGCTGTGCAGCTTGCAGGATGCCATGATACTTAGCCCCTGAGTTTCTGGAGGAGAGCTGCTCAACCTGAAGCTGGAGGAAAACAGAAAAATATTTTCAATTGCACATCACATTTCAACAAAGTTCAAGTGCCCAATTCAGGAATTCAGAACCCCAACAGCCAACCAATGCTGAGAGGTGGCATTCTGCCTTCCCACAGACTGACACCTAGAACTGACTGGGGTGTTATATTTAGGTAGGGCTCTACAATAATTAAAACATGCAGCTAAAAGAGAGAATAAGTAGGAATGATGGTGAAATTCAGTGAGATAGCAGAGACCATTCAAGAAAACAGAGAAAGAGAACAAACTATGAAAAACAGAAGATCCAGCTTAAACACACAAGTTAAGTTATATAAACAGAAGTGGTGGACATAAGATAGCCCCAGTACCTTGCATAACCTGCATACATTGCAGGTGGGGGCTGACAGGAGCTTTAGTGCTCTTTGGTTACACAAGTGACCTGCTCATCCAGGCCACCACCAGCTCTGCTCTGTCCCAGGCTCCTTCACCCCCTGTCCCAAGCACACCACGAGGGAGGTACCTGAAAGCGGATCTTGAGGACATCCAAGGGGCTGATCAGGACCCGAGTGACCAAGCCGGATGCTGATCCTGCTGCAGCTGCTTCCACCGTGGAGACGCACTTGGCCTCAGGGTCATAGCCGACCATGCCGGCCCGGCGTCCCTGCAGCCTGGGCGGGGGGACAGGGGCCACAGTGAGTCCTTTCCAGGCAACGAGCCCTCCCCACTCCTTGCCACACCAAGGCTCTACAGCCTCATCCCACAACCCCCTCCCTCCCGAGGCTTCCCCTCACCCCACGGGCCACACGTCCCCCCTCACCGCAACCCACACCCCTTCCCCCCCTCTCCCCACAGCCCCGCGGCCCAGCCCGGAGCAGCACCAGAGCAGGACACGGAGCCAAACCCCGGGACACGGCCAGGGGGGAAGGCCCGGGGGGGCTGCCCGGGCCCAGCGCCGCTCGCCCCGCTCCCGCCACTCTGCGCCTGCGCGCCGCGGGGGCTGCTGGGAAATGTAGTCCCGCCCGGGGCCGGAAGTGGGGGGAGGGGGCCTGAGGTTCCCGCTGACAACAACGTCTGCACCGGGAACCGGCACCTCCCGCCGTGACACTGAGCACAACACGGGCTCTTCCTGCAGCCCAGCACCAGCTCCTCCACCCCGGCCGGGGCCGTGACCCGACACCATCACAATAAGTGTTTTTCTTCCCTCTATAAAAGCATCGACGGAAGATTTTTTAAAATCTTTCCATGTCCAAACAGCACACGAGTTTCAGGAACATGTTCTGCTGCGGCGTTACAAAAAAGCCAAGAGCCCCAAACCACACTGCAAATCATTTCTATACCAACTTGACTGGCACAAACAAAAAGCTAATTGCAGGCATTTCACAGTAACCACAAAGTCCTTGGCTACAGTTTTATTTGAGCACAACTAAGAACAATTGTTACAAATCCACACAAATCCTCATGTGGGCCTTTCCCTATCACATATTAAAACATACTACAACATTTACAGGCACTTCCAAACCAGGCTGAGAAGCTGCAGAGCCACCAGACTGGCAGCACAACTGAGCAGCTCTCTTTTCAGACAACAAAAGTGAAAACCATCTGCAAGGTGCTCACCTGGCAGAACAAAAGCTCCCACGGCTGCTGTGCTCACCCAAGCCCATCTTCCCCTCTGTCCTCCAGCAAGACACCAGAAATAACTGGTCTGTTCTCCATCACTGGCTCCTTATGACATTGCAGGGGCACTTGAGCAGTTAGGAAAAAACTTTTAAAAACCCAGCAAGTGCCACCCTCCCATTCAGCTGATAGATACGTTCTTCAAACCTGGAAGGAACATGATCATTCCTTTCCCTCTCCTCACTGACCGTAATGCCACATGTGCCAAGTGACATCACTCTCCACTGGCTTAGCTTGGAAGAGCAATGAACTCACCCACATGTGCAGAGATAGAGCAATGATGCTAAAGAGCCTGAGCACTTCAGACCAAAGCACACCTTGCAGCTCTTCCCTCCCAGAGCAATTTAATCTCCTATAAATTAGCTTGGTCAGTCAACTAAAAGAACAGACAGATGCTCAAGTGAAGAATTCAATGTATATTTATTATTCACAGTTAATTACTATCTACCAAATGCTGCTGCAGAGTTAAAGGATTAAGTACATAGGTCTTTTTTATTTAAACACTGATTTTTTTTTTTTTTAAGATATATACACACACAAGACATATGTCTGCAAGGCTGCATGATATACACCAATCCCAAAACAAGGAAACAATCAAATGGTCCAGGTGTAGAATGCCATAGATTCCTTTTCCAATCACTTTACAAAGAAGGAAGAAAGTGACAGCTAGCAAGGAGAGGGGGAGAAAGTAATACTCTACAGGATAGCTCTCTCTTTCATCTGCTGGAAAATTAAAGTGTAAGGCAGAGTCCATCTCAGGAGTAAAACATTTGTAACACTTAGTAGAAAAAAAGGCACCCTCCAACAAAAGATTGCCCAGGCTTAGGCAGGGCAGGAGGAGATCTCCACTGCAGTTTCTGGGTTCGTTGGTGGGGTGAAGGGACCCAGCCAAGTGGGTATCAAAAGGAAAAAATAATGCAACTGAAGATTGGCACGGAGAGCAGCGTGGCTTGATTGCTTTCCTTTCCATCCAAATTAAGGTCACACTGCTCTGGTGGAGGAGCACACGGCCACAATGAACGGCATCATGGTGTAGGGTGGGGATTACAGTCATCACACAGCCTGCTGTGAATGGGGAGAGGGGGGGAATCTACTTCAACAGTAACACTGACCTGAGGAGGGAGGAGAAACTGGAGAACAGTGATGCCAACCCCACTTTTCAAGAGCAACACGACTGCAAATATTCCCTATCCAGGCCAAAGAGACAGGCTGATTACATGCATCACGTAGAAACATTCACTAATAGCATTAAGTTTTGTTTTTTTCAAGCACTATTTCTTGAGGTTTCTCTGCATTATAAGGTTTTCCATCAAAGGAATGTACATTTTAAAGGACATCTCAGGGCAATTATTTCTCAAATTCCCCCCCTTAACCCTCCCTCCCCCCCAAAATAGTCTTTTCCTCATTTTCCTTGGTCATAATTTCCCCCTTTCTCTTACTTCTTCTGAGGCTCCTGGTTGCAGCTCCCCACCTCTGAGCAGCATAAGCTGCCACTTGAATGCCTTGATCTTAGTTTCCTTGGAATAAGGAAAGTTGAACAATAAGACAAATCTTAAGATTAAAGCTCCATCTCAGTTTGTAGATTTTTCTCAAATGTCCATTAACAAAACCACCCTCCTTTACACCCTTCCCCCAAAAGTATTTATTTACACATAAGCAGAAAAAAAAAACCAACAAAAAAAACTTCTGAAAAGCTCTGGACTGTCCTTTTAACTTAAAAAATAATAAAAAAAGAAAATAAGGGAAAGGCACTATGGAAAAAAATTACAGAATGTGCTCAACCGTACACCTTTAAGAAAAAAAACAAAACAAAAAAGCTGCCAGCACAGCATAATCAGACTTCAGTTGTAGGTTGGAGTTTCTCAAAGCAGCGCTGTGACTCAAAAGAAAAAAAACAACAACAAACCAAGAACAAAACAAAAAGCCACACTCTTCTCCCTTCCCCTGCTTGGAAGCTGCTGAGCTTCGGAAGAAAGTGCCAAAGGAGAAGAGACAACAAAAATTAGATTAACACCTCATCTTTCCCAGGCAAGAAGAGCTGAATGTTGAAGGCAATAGCAGAGACTGATGATTTTTGTTTGTTTTTTTTTCTAAAGGCAGGACTGTGGATTTGGTTCTTCTCTCATGTCCCTTCATGTCATATGAAGACCGTTTGCAGAGAGAGAAAATACCAGCAGAGTTTCTCCCTTTTCCTTTAACTGCATGGCTAGGACTTTATATGGCATTAAAACTTCATGCACTGATGGACAGAGGAGGAGGGGGAAACAAGAAGAGTGAATGAAAGGGGGTAACCCAGGAGCAGCTGAGGAAATTCGTTATTTTCTTTTTTTTTTTTTCTCTCTCTCTTTTTTTTTTCCTTTTTTAAAGATAAGTTTTGGTGTGTAAGTTCAACTCTTCCCCCCCCAGCCCCTGAAGTTCCGTACTGAGTGAAGGAGGATCACCTCAGGGTGGAAGGTGACTCGGGTTTTATCGCCGTGTGATTTTTAGGTCACTGGCTGCAGTTAGGCTCTGTATGTGTATTTACTGTTTCTCTGGTTTCTTTAAATAATCTCTAATATTTCTCTCTAGATGTTCCGGTTCACTGGGGTCACATAATTGCGTGGAAACATGCCCGTCTGTCCGTGGCAGGCTCCCTTCCACCAGTTGGGGTCAGAATTGTCAAGGACTTGGATAAAGTCTCCGCGACGGAAGCCCAGCTCTCCTTCCTCCTGGGGATCAAAATCAAACAGGGCCTGAACGTACGTTGGTTGCTGAAAGGGGAAAGAAAAAAGATAAACCAAGTGAGAATCACCCACAGAACTGGAGACATCTGCTCCCTCAGGCGGGAGCTTGACTTACACAACTTGACTTTAACAACACTAGGGCTGTTGGGTTTCCCTGCAAGCCAGATTCCAACATCAGGAACAAGATGCCTGAACAGGAAAGCACAGTCTGTAGAAGAGCTTAGAAAATAGGCAGTTTCTGTGGAAGAGCTGAATCAAGGACACCAGATGACTCAGGTGTTTTCCTAGGAGCTTCCAGGACCTCCTGTAAATCTGTGCTCCACTGCAATACAATGGTCTTTTTTTGCTTATTCAGCCTGTTTTCACCAACTGCCAGCATGAATATTACTCATCTACCTAACCCTGTGATACACAAAGTTTCCCCTAAAACCTGTATGTTGCCATTTTACACACTTGCTTTAAAACTCTCCCATGCCAAGAAATTCTGTCACAGAGCATTTTGCCTGGTCATCAAGGGTTTCCATTCTTATGGAAAAGCTAGCAGTTCATTCAAAATGCATTTGCATTCTTAAAAGAGTGAGGCTAGGAAGGTGTCCTCATGCTTGTCACTTTCAGCCAGCTGTTTTCTCATCCCCTGTTTATCACTGAGCCAACAGGGCAGAGCCAGATGTTAATTCAGATAAAGTGTGCCCACAGCACCTGGAGAGCCTGGAGTCCCACAGCCCTTGCCTTCAGGCTAGAGAGCTGCACATGGAGGCAAAAGGATTTATCCAAACATTGACAAAAGATCCAGTTACATCTAACATAACATTCTGATTGCTGTAGGAAATGGAACAAAACAAAGAGCTAGATATACTCAAGCTGCTCTGCTGGCACTTAGCAGTAGAATTTGGGCTCTCTTAATGCTGACTAGATCCAAAGCAACAGGCTGGAGATGTTCCATATGCTACTACCTGTAACCATCTCTTCAGGAAAGACCAGTACCACAGCTTCCCTGGCTGCAGCAGGGTACAGTTCTTGCAATGAACCAGTACAAGTGGAACTATGCTTTCTTACTGTGTCCTAAACCAGGAGAAAACTCATTTGTAAAACACAGGAATCAGAAGACTTTTCTACAACAGCACCCATAAACATTCATACAAGCCAAGTGTTTAAGCAGCAACAATAACACTCTGCCAGAAATGCAGGGGACACTAGGAGTTACCAGGCAGGCTTTGCACAAACATCCAGCTTATTTCCCAGTGTAATTCTAAATACACACTTCCACGGACAAGAAAAATGTCAATCAGCTTCTCTCCATCCCTACCCATTTACCTCAAGATGCAATTGCACTTCAGACTGTGGATTCAATAGTCTGAAAAGTGCACTCTGGGAGGACACTTCTCTTACCTGTGGCATCTGTTCAATGTCCCGGAGGAATATTTGCTGGTTCCTGGAGACAGATGTGGATCTGTGATAATCTACCAGCTCGTTCAAAGAATTGAACTTCACCACCCAGAGGAAATACTTGCCAGCCCCATCTCTAAGCACCTTGAAGTGCTGTACATCATTTCCAAACCTGTTTGGAAAGAATGAAGGACAAAAAATCCCACATTGTTAGTCACTGAGTACTCCTCTTTTGGGATTCTCAGCACAGAATCTGGAACAAAATCATCCTTCAGGGCACAACGAAAACTGTAAATGACACAGATAATTTAGATACCAACTGGATGCTGTAAAAAACATCTGAAAACCACTTGCCAATTGTATTTTACAGAAATCAGTGATCAGAGACACAGAATGCAAATATTGAATTTATTTTGAAAAAATTCCAGCAAGCTTCACATGTGCTTGTCTTATGGCAGGACTTCAGCTTCAAACCAGCTTTTCAAACCACTCTGAATTTGCAGAAGTCTCAGGTCTTTTCACAAAGGGTTTCTGGTATCACAGCACTCTCTATCCTGCATGACAAAGCAGTATTTCAGCTTTTTATGTTACACTACATTGTCACACAGCTGGCAGCCACTGCATGAACTTTTTGATGTATGCACGCAGTCACCTGAGATGCTGAAGACAGTGCACAGAATGCCTCAAGACACCTGCCATGGACTTGGCAGGACAAATGCAAGGTCACATTAAAGTAGCTTCCACTCCACATTCCCAAAGACAAGATTTTGAAGTCAAAACAGTACAAGCACTTCAGTTTTGCTCTTCACACTCAGCAGTTTCACAACTGACTCGACCCAGTTCAGGTTTGTGCTCCTCTTGCTGTGGTGCTGACTCCTCACTGCCTCAGTCCCTCACACAGCTGCATGTGACAAGGCAGCACACCAGCCCCAGGCCCATTACAGGCAAATTGCTGGGAATACACTGCCACAGGGAGCTTAGGATTGTCTCTTCTGACAGACAGTCTGGACTTATGCAAAAGACTGTCTTGCAAAACAAAAGGATCTCTCTAGTCCTTCAAAACCAAGGACAGAAAATGTGGAAGGCAGCAACTCTAATTAACAATTCTTTCTGACAGATGATGACATTCAGTTGAAGCTACTTTTCCAATAATTCAACTCTGAATAAAGGGGAATTCCAAGGAAACCCTTGGGATTTTCCAGATGAATGGCACATCAACATTTTTCCTTCAGTCTAAAACACAAGGGACAACTGTTCCCCACTTAGTATGCACAACTTCTGTACATCGGCTGAAAACGTAGACACTATCTTGGCTGCAAAGCTAACAAGAAACAACTCAGGTCCTGCCTGTGCTCTCCCTTCCTCACCCTGAGAGCTTCTCATCATTTCAAATCCTGCAGAACACTGTTAAGGAAAAAGACATTTCTAAATTAAACAAATAGAAAAAATAAATCAATGGAGACATGACCACCAGGTGGCAACACGAAGCTAAGAGGCAGAGTTACACTATAACAACTTCGAGTTTCTTAAAAGGAATGTACTTTATGGAATGCAGCTTCCATGCACATCAGATATTTGTATCCAAGACAGATGTATAAACGTCTCTTAAAATCAGTGGCTTTTATCTAGTTTGTGGGCATGACTCAGGGCTGCTATACAGGACAAAAATTTGGTTATAGATCAGAAGTGACCAGAAAAAAAAAAGTAATCCTGCCAAAACAGATCACTGATAGTCACAGAAAATAAAGTAAACTAGGAATCATGCATGAATAATAAAAAACTATAGTTAGGATTCTAAAGAAAATCTTGGTCATTTCTGGAAGGAAAGGGGAAGGTTACAGAAAATAAAGAAAAAGGCAAAATTCAACTGCTGAGGACAGACAACCCCCAATCCACATTAAATTATGTCACCTACCCTTTCAAGTTTTTAGTACCTCTATTTTGCAGTGAATTCAGATTGTCCAGCATAGTAGTTGTGGGCCATGACCATCTAGCAGGAACTCCTGCTGGTTAACAGCCAGTTCTGAGAGATGCTCCTCTTCCCTTCACTGTTATTAGACTGAGTTTCTCTACATGGAAGCACTTGTAAGAGATGGAAGAGGCCTCTATTTTCACAGCTTCACATCCCAGTGCTAGACAATGTATTTCCAAAGCATGTGCCAAGCAGACAAGAGAAACATACTTGGAAGTGCACTGCACAGAGAGAGGAGTAGTAAATTGTACTGGAGAAGAGGAATGGAGGAAGATGGGAGAAAACATGCACACTGGGCACTTCCTGGCTGCAAGGAGGAACAAGATCCACAACCGAACAGATAGTGCTGGTTGACTACACGAGCCAGACAGCAAGATGCCACCAGGTCTCATTACAAACCAGAGCATATATATTTGTTCTATTAAAGAGGGAATAAATAAGTATCACTAGAAGAACAGGACTGCTAAAGGGCATCTAGAAGATTATTCCTGCTCTACAGCATTGACAGTCACCTGTCCTTTATGCATGAGTCCAAATGAGCAGTAGATTGCCTGATTACCACAAAGGATTGCTCCTGGGTATTACTTACTTGACTGAGAGGGAGAAGTCCCCTGGAGCACTCTCACTCTCCCTGATGAGGAAGGCACCATCATGTCTCTGTTTGCCCAACATCTCTTCAGCCTTTGCCCGGGGAATCTTTCCAAAAAACCACCTGTGGAGTGAGGAAAAAAAACAATAGGGAAAATTAAGAATTGTAATCCTTTCATGGAAGAGACAGATGTAGATATTCACACAGTGATGAAATGATTCCTCACGCAAGTAACTCCACAGCCCCACACTGCCACTCCACAACAGGCTACTGAACCATGCAGTTTTTTCATAACCTTTCTTCATGGCAATGAAGCAACTGTGACTTGATAAGCAGGTGTTTGCAACAGCCTTATTTCCCCAGTCTAGTGAAGCAGAGATGTAGCAAGAGTGAAATCCTCACATTACAGGATTTCTTTTCAGAGGCGAAAAAAAGCCCACTCAAAATTTAATGCATTACTCACATTGTTTTCCACTCTTTTTTATCTGCAATTTACCACATAAAACATCACAACAAAAAACTAATCTACAGGATTGATCCATAACAAAGTCCTGCTTCGTGAGGCTAAGAGGACTACCCTGGGAACTGGCTATAACCTTGGCCAAAACTAAAATGTCAACTGTGGTCTGCACTGATATCTTAATAACTGGGCCTCTATAACCTAAATTCAAGCAGATTAAATGCCTAGCTCAAGCAAGACACTCAGTGCCCCCCTCTGCCACTAGAGAATAAAGTCCCACATCCCTTTATGCAAGGTTTTGATTGTCCAAACTGTATGATGCCATCAACTCAAAGACAACTAAGAAGTACTGCACTGGTGGCTGGTCACTGCTTAACTTCCCTATGGTACAGCAGCATTTCTTAGTACCCAAAGATAATCAGTGGGGAGTAATTATACAGTCTCCTTTATTACTTTATCCTCCTAAGGAGAAGTCACCCATGACTTAATCATGGCTTGCAGAGTGGATGATATGGCAAATGTAAGTTATTAAGGATGAAGCACAGAAAACAGTTATTTTAGCAGGTAGGAATCCTAAAAATAAATAAATAAATAAAAGGAGTATTTGCAAAATGCAAGGGAAACACTGGGAGTTCACTCAGAGGTTTCTCTTCAGAAACATCACAACCCTAGAGACCAGATCCTGTCTATGGACTGAGCCATCCTGCACAACTGGAAAGAGCATTTTGTATCAAACCCAATTTCTAGTCTCTTTTACATCAGGTGGTAAGACATGATTACTTCAGCAGACAGAATGAGTAGTTTTATTCAGCAGCTGGTTGTTCTTGCAGACCAGAGTCCAATTTTTCTGACCCCAACTAGAGCACTGTGATCAAAGACTCATAAAACTTGTCAGAAAGCTAAGGCAGATGCCAGGAGTGGAGTTACATGCAGACCAAGTGAGTAAAGTTCCCTCAAGGTCTCTCTGCTTCAGCACAGAGGAATGTTGAAGTGGTTACAGAAAGGTTTTAAAATGCTGATATTACTTGTTTCTGTAGCCTATATTCTTGCTTTTTCCTACAGTCAGGACAATCCAGCAGCTTTCCCATCCACAGTCATATGAAACAGCTGCATCATGGAAGCCACATCTGAACTTCTTGACAGCTGCATGAAAGTCAAAGCCACAGGCTGACCACCTCTGTGACACCAAGGGTGAACCTACCTCAGGCAACCAGATCACCAGCACTGATCAACAGCCCCTGGTCACAGGATTCTTACCCACATTTACATTTGTATTTCTGGACTGATCCAAGATGAAAGGCAAACGAGGGCTGAGTGATAGGTCACATGGCGTGGGAAAAGCAGAACCATCTTCACAACAGAAAAGTACAGCTTTCAGTTCTGAGTAACAGGTCACACAGGACAGCAACACTTACCACAGCCTATAACCATGCAGATGACTGACCTTAGAGGAGAGCATTTAATAACAAGAGCTCCAATCAGAGTCTATTTCCTACAGTGAAGGTTTTCGTGCAGCAAAGAGACAGAAGCTGCAGAACACTCCTTGGAATAGAACTGTTCTGAAGAGAAGTTGAAGTCACCAGATCTTCCTCTCAAAGAGGAAGCCATCTCTAGAGGTGAAAGCAAAGGCTTTACATAATTTCAGAGTTTTCTTGTGCACCCTTGCTTCACTTCCCACTTGGTTGCACTAAAGTTGTATATCTCCCCTCCTTCTTGGGATGCGGCCTCTCAGAAGCCTCCTTCTGCTATTTCAAAAGAGCCCTTAGAAAAATAACTATTGTTCAGATTTAATGGCAATATCATAATTACATCATTACAGCCAACAATTAACAAGTCAATCATCAGTTTTTGTGGGCAACTGAAACACAAACGCTCCTTGTAAAAACCCTGATAACAGGTTTGTTGCTCCTTCCTAAACCTTTTCCCCCCTTGGAATATGCTACCCAGAGCTTGCTGTTTTCTTGTTCAGATGTTGAAGAATCTCAAAGGTTGGCAGAACCAGAGTTTAGTAGAAGACAGCAAAAATACATGAACACAGCCTGTTCAGGACCAGATGAATGTTAGAGGTCCTGTCTTACCTGTATTATTCTATGATTCTACACTCAGGATGTAACAGACATACTAAGAACACAGCTCCAAATAGCCTAAGTATTTTTCTGGTGAGCTCTGAATGCCACACTTTTTACTCTTACCTGCCAGGATAAGTAAAGCAGAGAATCACCACAGAAACAAAGTCATTCTATTTCCTGGGCAGTGGTGGTGACAACTCTATACTAACGAGTTTTCTGCTGGTCTGTGCCTGCTGCTCCCTAGGTCAGTCTGTCTGACCCTAGAGCAAAACACCAGAAAAGCTTCCCAAAATACCCTGCTATACAGCTGGCTGTGACAGGGTTACAGTAAACACTACAGCCAGAGACACAGCTCAGGAGCCATCTTTATGGAGAATGGATCGAAAACAGTCCAGAGAAGGACTTCAGGGTGAAGGTGGATGAGAAGCTCAACATAAGCTGGCAAAGTGTGCTTGCAGCCCAGAAACCAGCCATGTCCTGGGCTGCACGGCCAGCAGGACAAGGGAGGGGATTCTCCCCTTTTACTCAGCTCTCCTGGACCCCACCTGGAGCACTGTGCCCAGCTCTGGAGCACCCAACATAAGGAAATCGAACTCCTGGATAGAGTCCAGAGGAGGCTACGAAGCTGATCTGAGGGCTGGAGCAGCTCTGCTCTGGAGACAGACTGGGAAAGTTGGAATTGTTCAGCCTGGAGAAGAGAAGGCTCCAGGAAGACCTCATAGAGGCCTTCCAGTATCTGAAAGAGGCCTGCAGAAAAGCTAGGATGGGGCTTTTTTCAATGGCTTGTAGTGAGAGGACAAGGGGTAACGGATCAAAACTGAAGGAGGGGAGATTTAGGTGAGACATTAGGAAGAAATTCTTTAGTGTGAGGGTGGTGAGACACTGGTACAGGTTGCCCTGGGAAGCTGTGGCTGCCCCATCCCTGGAAGGGTTGAAGGGCATGTTGGATGGGGCTTGGAGCAACCTGGGCTGGTGGGAGGTGTCCCTGCCCATGCAGAGGGGTTGGAACTAGATTATTTTTAAGGTCCCTTCCAACCCAATCCATTCTATGATTCTGTGATTTATCTCTTATCACATTTTGGTAGATCTGGTAAACTACAAAGTTTAAAGTGCTTGGCAGAAAACCTTCCTTCTATTTGAAAGAATGCACAAAACCAGAGGAGCCTATCACCAAAGCTCTACTTACGGATGTGGTTTCATTTCTATGTAGTTCTTGGGAATGAAGCCATCTTTTCCATTGAGTTCTGCCTTGTACCAATTCTGATCACATTCTTCATTCAAAACCTGAAGGAAGCAAAAAAAAATAAGCTGACCACATTTCAAGACACAGCAAAACTGACAAAGGTACTAGCTTGTTCTTTCCATTCTTGTTTCATAGACTACTCTTGTAAGATGAACATATAAACCAAATGGTGCTAGTCATCCTGGTCCACTGCCTCACACCAGAACTGTGCTGAACAAAAAGCTGGATGAGTAATGTAAAATAGCCAAAGGATTTTAGTGCCAAACCCTCACATTTTAGTAAAAAAGTCACTAAGTCCACAGGTACTTTGAACAACATAACTAGACTGAGATCTCTGCCAAAGATTAAGTTGGCTGTCATCACCAAAAAACTGTCCAAAATCTGTAAACCAAGACATTCTGATTCTTTATCACTTCCAATGATCACTTTTTCCTGTATTCAGCTAACAAACCTAATGCTTTCAGCCTAAATGTGATTTCATAAAGTTTTTCTGCATTTCCACTGGTTGCACACTGGATGTGTTAAGACATTCTAGGCAGCACCTGTATGACAAAGAATTTCAGAAGAAAAACTCCCTCATGACAACATGAGCACAGGCCCAGCTGCAGATACAACTGGCAGCTTCAGCTGGTTTTGCCCATATAAGTTAAAACCAGGTTACATCAGACAGCAGAAACAGTGACTCTGTTGAGTATTTTTTATGTAAACAACAGCAAATGTAGATGAACAAAGTGGTTTGTTTGTTTTTCCTTAAATGTACACTTTTCTTGTTTTAACTGTATTCTAAAATGAAAGATCAGGAGTAACAAGAGACAAGCCATGTGAATAAGTACCTTTAAAAAGCAAAAAATTGATACTCCAACCTGCTCTAAAAACTTTGGTGCTTTATTTTTCATTGCATTTCTGTCAACTGGTACAGTGCAATAGACCAGCCTGGCACACTGAGGCTCCTGAATAAAGTAGCATAAATAATAAAGTTTACAGTCATAATGCTGTAGATTGAAACTACTCCTCAAAAAGATTTTATTTGATGTTGGAAGCAAACGTCACCCAGAACCTTTCAATTTAAGCCCCACAACAGTTTTTCCCCAGCACTTTCATCCATTTTCAGCTTCCTGAGGGTGTTTTTAACACTGTGACAATGGCCAACTAAAAGGCTAGATCTGAGTTTAAAAAAAGAGATACACTTAAAGCCTCAAGTCACAGAAGTATCACATGAGTGTTGCCTGAATGTGGGAACATGAGGAAATGCAAAGAGAAAGACAACATGAAGGCAGATCCAGAGATCACATAATAAAGACACATGCAGTTATGGTGAAGATGCTCACCAAAATCCAAAATGTTCACAAGCAATGACTAATTTCCAACTCGTTCGTTTTTTTTCTCGTAATCTCACTATGTTTCATTTTTGGAAGAGTGGTAAGAGGAAATTTTAAAAAGGAAAAGCAGACAAGGATTTGCAAGTGCAGGCCTTAAAATTCTCACAGCTGGTGGGAGTGCTTCAGAAAATTAAACTCTAAAGATTGATTTTTGCTGCCTTTCAAAAACACATGACACATCAATAACCTCACCTGCCTCATTGCTGACTGCTACGTGTAAAAGAGAAAAACATCTACACCTAGTGAAATAAAATGTAGTGAAGCAAAAAGAGAACAGAATCTGAACATCCTCAGTGAATTATAGAGGCTTATAGTTAGGCTGCTCCTTAACTTCCCACCAAAGAGGCTGATGGTACATGTACATGCCCCTGATGCCATCACTTCCACCAGGAAACAAGCACAGGAACATGGCCACATCTACAGAACATGAATAAAGACAGTTCAGGGTATCTCCAGTTCAAGAGACTTAAAATACTTACAAGTTCCTAAGCACCTTTATATGGACAAAAATATTCAAGCTGTCTTTTGTGCAGTTACTCCTGTGGGCTTCCATTTATTTGTTTACAAGCATTGCTCTAGCAGGCATCACAGTTGAGGCGTTTAGCAAGGATAATCTGACCACAGGTCATGGGCAGTTCAAGTGTGGCTCTGCTAGAGGCTCTGAGGTAACAGCTCGCACATAGAGAGTTGTCCCAGATCAGCTGATGTCTGCTGAGCTGCCTTGCAGCACATCTCTCACCACCCCTGTACTGACTGCAAGGAGGCATTCTGTGCAGAAACCAACTCAACTCCATTCTTCATCATGAGGGTAGGAAGGTGCTGGAACAGGTTGCCCAGGGAGGTTGCTGATGCGCCCTCCCTGGAGGTGTTCAAGAGCAGGTTGGATGAGGCTTGTGCAGCCTGGTCTAGTTGGAGGTGTCCCTGCTCATAGCAGGGAGGGTGAAATCTGATTATCGTTTAAGGTCCCTTCCAGCTCAAACCATTCTATGATGCTATGAATATAAATTACAGGTAGATCACACCAGCAGGCATCTCTGGGATACTGAGCAAGGAGTATGGAGATTAAAAACTATACATAAAGAAGCCCAGATCTTACAAATCTGCAAAGATTTTGGCACATAGCTTGAATGACCAGGAAGTCTGGTTGTTACATACCTCAGCTGCCACCACTACAGTCATTTACAATACAACAGAACAGAAACATGATGCATTTTAATGTGATGTCTAAATAAACCAAACTTTATGCAATAGTGTGCATTTCTTTATCAAAGATGGCACTGATTACATTTTTTATAAGATTGTGCACTACAAACCCATTTCATTACAAACAGAGAGCAGTTAAGGGATATGGCAGTCTGCTCTTTTTCTATAGTAATAAAAAAAGGGTAAATTGTAGCTTCACAGGAAGGACCTCACCACATATTTGTGCTTTTAGCAGTAGTCATTAAAAATTATCAGAAATTCTAATGCTCAAATGTAAATGATTTAAATCAGTTTTATCTTGCTCTGAAGATATGCTAATAGATTTGGAAGAGCCAAATCACATAGGGCTTGGGGTACTCATTAATGCTTGTCCTCAAGCCAAATGCCAGTGAGGGAGCATTGCTGAGGCATGCATCAAGCTTTGTGACCAGAAAAAAAAAAGCTGGATAAAGGCATAGTAAGGTGAGCTGCCTACACATTTGTGTGTACAGCCTGTTCAGGAGACTTCTGCTGTAATAATGACGCCTCCGCAGCTCTCCTCTTGAGTGGCTTTGTTTGCTCCAAGGACTTTTCCCTGCTTCACACCCAGATTGATGTATCTTCACAGCCAGTTGTCCTTTCTAGGCTCATTTTAACTAGCTGTCACAGCTCCACGGAGAGCCTGGCAGACAGCCAGACTATCCAAGCCCTACACGATATACCAGAGAGCCTTTACATACACAGTCACCCTCTAAACACCCGTTTTACCCTTTCCAGGTCTTTCACTGTGCACTCTTCCAAAGGCAAAGGCACACACAGTTTGTTCTCTTTACAAAGCTCCTTGTCCACTTATCATTTCAAGAGGAGTCACCTCTACAACACAGAGATCTACAAAATTAATTTTTTTGAGAGTGTCTCAGACAACTCTGGAATTGCTCTTTGTGCTTCATCAGGCAAAAATTACTTGCACCGAAGCACCTTAAACCTTTGCAGTTGTGCACAAGGCTGGAATTCTGGTGGCTGCTATGAAGTTATGTAGCTATTATTATGACAACTGCATGTAGAATTTCAGCTTGCAAAAAAATCTTAAAACAGTAACATCTGTGCGTGAAATAAAAGTAAAAAGTAAGTTGGGAAGACATGTAAGAACTCTCTGCACTGGTCTGTCTGGCTTTGACATTTACATCTGACACTGCTCTCTTTTCTTGTAAATAGGAAAACCTACTGAAATAACTGACTTCAAGTAATTAAATCATTTGCTGCAAAACATTTTAAGAAATGCATCCAGTAAAACCATCTAGCCCATACATTCAAACAGCCTCTAAGTGATTTCCAGATAATATTTAAAATTAAAGTTTATCATCTGGGTACTTAAAAAACAGTGCTATGCCTGTAAGAAAGATAAAAGATTCTTAACTGAACTATGGTAAGATTTTCCCAGACTCAAAGCTATAAAATTTAGTCTCAGTACTGCATTTATCACTGGATTTTGCTTTGAAAGTTTCCCCAAGTACAAATAAAACCAGATAAATTAAAGGAACAAAATTAAAATTAAGGATTTACTGCTCCAAACTGAGACAGACCTCAGAGTCTGCAAAAAATTTAAAAGGCACACTTATTTATCTCAACAACTGTTACAAACTCCTGCTCTTTCTATAGGACAAAAGAAAAAGCATTCCTTTGCAGCCAATCCCCTTGTCTGCTATAGGTCTAATCCAGTCCAGGCCAGAGTGACTCTTCCTTTCACACTGGGGTATCTGTGCCCGAGAGGAGGAAGAAGGAAAGATATTTTTAGGCACTACATTAGAACACACACTGCCATGTGATGTTCCTGGCCTTCACTCAGCCCTGCTTTACAGTAAGAGTGGCTCAACTGCTGCCTGTCAGTTTCCGAGTTTGATAACAGATCTCCTATCAACAAAAGCCCATCTGTTCCCATGGAAACAGAAGAGGCACAGCTGAAGAGCCACACAACAAGGCAGTCACCAAGTTTAACTGGAACAGCTCACACAACAAGCATTCTACAACAAGCATTCCTGGCCATTTTCAAGCCCATACCTGGCAAATATTTCTAAAAACAGCTTTTCCATCCTTGTGAATTGTTGCACACCAGTCTTGATCCTCTCAAAACCAAACAACTTTCAGGAACATGCAAGCACTAAATCAGAACATAACAAGCAGATCTGGCAACTCAACTCTCAAGCTGACTCCCATATGCAAACAGGAAACTAAACATAAGGTGTAAAACATACATACATGCTTGCAAATTTAGCCAAATTCATCAGAAGGACTGGGTTTGGGAGAGACAAAACCCAAGGAACTTGTTCCAGGAGGGTTCTGAGTGTTGGCTGAGCCCATTCTTGCTGTCCTAACTGAAACAGAAGGTAAAAAAACTGCTCGAGTACGACCTGTTAGCTGCCAATGTGGGTTTTTTCCTTACTGAGAAATGTTGCACTGCCACAAGAAAAACAAGGCACCCC